TAGGGTCGCTGAGCCAGAATTGACTCAATGGCAATGGGTTTCACCTCCGCCATCAGGGAGCCTCCCTGGTAGTTGCTTCCCCTCTGTGCTGAGCCTCCTAGTTACCTCTGCTTACATCCAAGGATAATATTCTGGCAGACTCCTCCACTAGACTGCCAACTCCTGGAGAGCCCAGAAGCACAAGGGAAGCATTTCACAAAGATTTGAATGACCCAATGATGGGCAGGCCCTTGGGACCAGTGTCAGAATTAGCCACTTGCTCATGGGCTTTTGGTCAGTGTCAAGGGTAGGATGGTATTTGTTAGAGGTTTGTTTGTGGCTGAAAGTGGGTCAGACATGTGAGTTCATTTGTCTCTGAAATGTACAGTAGCAAAGGAGTATAAAGGAATCATATAATTAGCCTTTTTTTTTAACATATTTCTGAGAAAGGAGGAAGAGAAAAAAATGGAAAGTAAACTCAAAACCTACAATTTCTGTTTAAGTATCAGTGGGCAAACAGGCAAAACTTATAGAGGACTGACTAAACTATGGATAGGCAGAAGGGAATTAAGAATTCTTCTGAGCTATGAAGCTGTTGGGACTTATTTATTTACATGACAGAGTTCTAACGGATTTGAGGAGAGAGTAGGACTGCCCCTTAGGGTTTCCAAAGAGTAGCTGGTTGATTTGAACTGTCTATTTTTTGGTTAGCAGCCTGAGCTCTTAACTACTGTGCCACCAGGGCTCCGAGGAAAAAGCAGTAAAGTGTTATAGAAGGAGCCTCGTAACATCATAAGATGTGAGAGCTAGAAGGAGTTTCACTGATCAATTATTGGTTCTCAATCATGAGACTATGATGAAATTTTCACTGATCTACAGAAACTGAGATGCATTTGGATGATCTATTTTTACATTTCTTTACAAAGCTAAATAATTCAACTTAAAGAACTGTTCTTTATTCTGACATTAAATTCTTTCCACTTTTATGATATTATTCTTCTTTCATGTAAAGACGGCGATTATGAAGGGCAATTTGGCATTATGTTCTGATAAATGCAGTCTATTTATCTGTTTCCCATTATTAACTCAACTAGTCTTTTTTTTTTTTAAAAAAAAAAAAAACTTTTTACTGAAAAATAACACACATACATTCCCAATTAGTTTTAATAGCCCTATATTTACGATAACTTTTTAGCTTGGCAAAGTGAAGAGTTGGGCAACCCCGTCTCAATCTCCCAAATTATTTTTAAAGAAAATTTACTGGTCCACAAAATCTGACTTAGTTCAATGTCCCTCCTAACTGCATAACAGGAAATGAGAGTCTAAAGAGGTTAAGTGTGAAAGCACTATATAAATGCTGAAGGTCCCTCAGTTAACAGCTAAGCCAGGACTAGATCCAGGACTCTTCCCTACCAGAGTCCAAGGTGTTTAGCTCCTACTCACCTTAACAGCTGATATAGGATTTGATCCTAAAACCATTTATGGCGCAGAACTGAGACTAGTGTGAGTTTTGTGTTGTCTGTGGGATTGCATAATAAGCTCTGATGGGCTTTGCCACAATTCTCTCTTACAATCATGACAAATAACTTCCATTTTGTATTTTCATCTGATAAAAATGACTCAACAGGAAAGCATAAGAAGATTTTATAAACATATACAAGTAAATATGCACTATTTCATAAGCTCCACTTATAAGATACTTTGTTCATATTTTTCCTTATCAATCACAAAACAGCAGCTGCCACTATTTATTTGTTCCTTGCTGCTCAGAGCCTATCATTCTAATTCAATAACTGTGAATCTAGAGCAAGATGGGCCTGCTTACTCATGCCTATCAACTGAGATATGTAAATATCAGAAGATGGCTCGCATTACCACAACAAACATTGTTGTTAAGTGCCATCAAGTTGGTTCTGACTCAACATTGTTGTTAAGTGCCATCAAGTTGGTTCTGACTCATAGCGACAACCCCACGTACAACACTGCCCCGTACTGTGCTGCCCTCACAATTGTTGCTATGTTTGAACCCACTGTTGCAGCCTCTGTGTTAATCCATCTCGTTGAGGGTCTTCCTCTCTTTTGATGACCCTCTGCTTTACCAAGCACGATGTCCAAGCCAAACATAAAAGGCTTTAAATCCAGCCCTGGAGCCAGGAAAACATTCAGAACTGTTATGTCAAAAAGTTTAGTCCATTTATCTCCACTTCTCCAATTATTTCAACAAGTTTTGTAATCACTACATTCATGGGAGTTTCAAATTCCTGATGTTATATGAAGTTGCTGTTTGGTATGCAGGCTCACATTCTTACCTTTTTTCCCTGTAAAAATTTTGAACTACCAGTCATAAATACAACACAATTGTGTTAAAGGGGCCAAAATAAAACAAAATCCCTTACTTAATGTAAGGCAGGTGTCCAATGATATCTTACTTAGAGCCCTTGGTTTTTTTTTTTTTTTAATTTTGAAATAATTTTAGACTTACAGAAAGGTTGCAAAATAGTACATCTCCACATACCCTTCACCCAGCTTCCCCTAATGTTAACACCTTACATAACCATGGCACAATTATCAAAACCAAGAGATTAACATTGGTACAATACTATTAATAAACTACAGACTTTATTAGGATTTCACCAGTTTTCCCACTAATGTCCTTTTCGTTGTTCAGCATCCAATCCAGGATCTCACATTGCATTTAGTTGTCAGGTCTCCTTAATCTCCCCAATCTGTGAAACAGTTTCTTAGTCTTTCTTTGTCTTTCATGACCTTGACACTTTTGAAGAATACCAAATCTGTTGCTGTCAAGTTGATTCAGACTCTTAGTGACCCTACAGGACAGAACAGAATTGCCCCATAGAGTTTCCAAGCCTGTAAATCTTTACAGACTGCCACAGCTTTCTTCCATAGAGTGGCTGGTGGGTTCGAACTGCTGACCTTTTGGTTAGCAGCCAAGCGCTTAGCCACTGTGCCACCAGGGCTCCTTTTTGAAGAGTAATGGCCAGTTATTTTGTAAAATGCCTCTCAATTGGCTTTGTCTGACGTTTTCTCCTCACTGGACTGCAGTTATGCATTTTTGACCAGAATACCATACAAGTGATGTGTTTCCTCAGAGCATCATATCAGGGGTATGTGACGTCGGTACATCTTATTACTAATGATGTAAACCTTGATTACTTGGTTAAGATGGTGCCTTTCTCTTTTAATTGCTCATTTTATACCATATTAAGCTCTTTAATGGAACAGGGATGACAACTAAATTAGTAGCACCCTTATGTGGGATGGGAACAAAAGGGAAAGGGCTTTCCTGATCTTCATGTATACCAGCAGAGAGCTCGTAGAGTGCTGACCCTCTGAACAGAGCCCTGAGAGACTCGAACATAGGACATATGTACTCTGACAATGGAGTTATGAGGCAACACCTGTGAGAGTCATAGGCAGACACAGGCAGAGCACTGTAATGGGAGACCTTGGCCAGCCAACAGGCAGCACGAGGGCAGTGGGCCACCCAGGGGAAGAGGAGCTGATGGAAGTGTTTATGTCTTTCAAGATTTCTATTCTTCTTTCCTTTCATTGCCTACTTTTGTTTACTTTAGTTTTTTTTATGCCCTCTACCCTCACCTGATCTCTGATTTCAACAAAATCCCATTAAGAACACTTATCTCCACCAGCTACTCCTTGGAAACCCCATGGGGCAGTTCTGCTCTGTCTTTTAGGGTCGCTATGAGTCAGAACTGACTCGACGGCAATGGGTTTGGTTTTTTGGCTTTGTGGGTAACTGGGTGGTGCAAACGCTTAATGCACTCGGCTGCTAAACAAAAGGTTGGTGGTTTGAGTCCACCCAGAGGTGCCTTGGAAGAAAGGCCTATTGCTCTACTGCTGAAAAATCTGTCATTGAAAATCCTATGGAGCACAGTTCTAGTCTCACATATGGGGTCACCATGAGTTGAAATCAAATCCATGACAACTGGTTGGGGTAATTACTTCAAATTAATTTGCATAAGCTGCTATGAATGATAACAGTACCCCTGCCAGCCCTCTTACTGTTTTCTACCCGACCACTGGAGGCAGATGGAGGTGTACCTATGATTTACTATAAACTACACCATTCAATCCTAGAGACAACAATGTAAACCAAGGTTCTTTTTTTTTGAGATATAGTTCATATACCATAAAATTAACCCTTTAAAGTATATGATTCAGTGGATTTTTTTTGTATATTTTAGTATGTACTTCATATATTCCAGAACATTTTCATCAACCCCAAAATAAACCCCATATCTGTTAGCAGTCAGTCCCCATTCGCCCTTTCTCCCAGTCCCTGGCAACCACTAACCTACTTCTGTCACTACAGATTTGACTATTTGAACCAAGGTTCTTTTGATCCCAAATTAGTTATAATCAAGATGATCTTAACCAAGTTAACCTAGGAGAAACACACACATATACATACATACATGTGCACACATACACGGATTCTAACCTTGGCAGTACATGCCTTCCCTTTTGATACTCAGCCCTCCCGGCCCGTCCCCGTCCCCTGACTGTGTCTCAGAGGCAACTTACCTGTACCTGCCCTCCTGAAGGTACATTCATCCTATCCTCCCCTCTTCTATCCAAAACCACGTGGTGTTCCATCAATGTTCTGCATTTGTGAGGTAATGTTAAGATAAAATAATCTTTGCTGAAGTGCTAAGAAGTAACATATTTACCTGTTAGCAGAGACCTTTTGGAGTCTAACGCCTCAGCAAGGGTGACCATAGGACTCAGTTTGCTTTCAGCTTTCCCAGTTTATGCTTGTTGCCCTGGCTTAATTATTACTAGTATCCCCTTTCCTGTTCAAAAGTGTCCTTGTGTGGATGACAAATTATACTGTCTCCAAAGCTTAACCAAAATAAATGACTAATAATGGCAATTATAGGCATTTTGGCAGGCCAAGAAAATAATTTTACATCAATGAAGTTTTCAGTGCTCCTCAAACCATACCCCAGCTCAGCCTACCTTTATAGTTTAAATCCACCAACCTGTAGGAATCAGGGTTTCATCCACAGGCAAAAAAGCATCAGCTTCTATAGTGACTTCATGGTCATATATATTTGGAGAACCCTGGGAGAGAAAAAGTAGAGAAAGAAAAGAAGACTTAATGCTTAATCTTATTTTATATCTTTGTTTTAGAACTCCTCTTACAGAAATATTTTTAGACATTGACAAAAACTTTAAAAATCCCATTTGACTTATGGTAATGATTAAATATGTTCACTTAAGTGTAGATAGATAGGGCCTCAAAATAGCCAATGACAGATTTAGAGCACACTTTCAAGTATGACCCCAGTATGCACTTTCTTTTCTAAATGGGATTATGAAGGTGCAGAGTCAGAGAGACCACAGTGGTCTGAAAGCCTTTTGGACTCTGGCTTGTCAGCAGCAGGGTATTTCCTACTCTCCTCACGTGCCAGGAAACCGAAGAGCGAGAGTGATGACCAGTCACATACAGGCCTGGGACAGCCAAGGCCCACCAGAGGCGCATCTGCCACCCTTTCTCTGGCCCACCTTTCGCCCAGGGGACCCACTCTTTGCCACACGACAGAAGCACAGGAGTCAGAACAGGGTCCCTGCTTTTGGGAGGTTGCCTACCTGCTACATAAAGATGGGGGAGTCAGAGGCTTGTACAAAAAGCACTGGTCAATGGTCAGATGGCCTGGGTCTAGTTCTGGTTCTCAATGAACGGCCCTAGGGAAGTCATTTAACCTCCAAGAATCTCATTTCTTTGATATGAAATTGCGATATGATACCTCCAGAGTTCTTGTGAGAAACAGTTCAGTAAAGGCCTGTTGTGATATTTGCAAATTGGAAAACGCCTTACACATGTATGTTTCTAATAAAAAGATTATTTTTTATTATTAATAGTAGCATATTTTAAAGCTTCATGGCAGAAGATGCGGAAGGGGAACTTGGTGAGGGGTTTTGCTTAGTAAATACTCAAGAATAAGCTAAGCCAGTGAGTAGGGCTGGAGCCTGGAGGAGATGAGCTTTCTCTGGGCTCCTGGCCAAGCATTTATCCAGGTCTTCCTACTGTTTGCTCAGGTGCCATCTTTCTTTTTTAAAAATAAGTAAATACTTATTACGTAAATATATGTTGCAGTTAAGATTTAATACACAAATAATGAAACGCAGATTTTCAAAGCATAGTTCTGAGCTTTGACAAATACATGCATCCCAATCAAGACATAGAATATTCCCATTGCCACAGTTTCCCTTAAGCCCCCTTCCAGTTACTATCCAGCCCCCACCAAAGATAATCAGTGTTCTGATTTCTGTTGTTATACACTAGTCTTGTCTGTTCTAAAACTTCATGTAAAAGGAATGATATAGTATATATTTTTGTGTGTTTTGCTTGTTTCCACAAAATAATGCTTTTGGATTCATCCATATTATTGTGTACATCAGTAACTTGCTCCTTTTTACTGTTGAACAGTATTCCATTGTACCACAATTTGTTTATCTATTCTCCTGTTGATAGACTTTTGGGTTGTTTCCAGTTTTTTACTATTTTAAATAAAGCTTTTTTTTTTTTTTAAATAAAAAGAAATTGCTTTTCCTGTTTGTGTTTTAGTACTAGGGCAGGAAGCTAGTGATTCAACATGAAAATCATACACCAAATAAGCTGATGAGTCTGAGATGTTAGGAAGAAGCCTGAGAGGAAAAGGAACATTTATTGAGCACCTCTATCTTAATGGCCATCGGGTCACTATGCAGTGCTAACATTTCCTTCAATGAAGAGAAACATGCTTAAGTTTACAACTCTCCTGGCCTGGAAGAATGCATGATCTACTCAGGTGGAATATTACTGTTGGATTCATTTCCTTTCAAAGCTGATGAAAACTTGGCAAGAAATGCTGATTCACATATAATTCTTGAGATACATCTCTGAGTTCAATATTTGTTTTGGTTAACTTTGCTTGGCTGCTGCTGGTTCTGTAACATTAACCATTTACAGAGTCCATTATGGCTTGCATGGGGCCTTAAAGACCTTTTTGTGCATTGCCACTACCACTGCCTTAATTCAGCTCTTATTGCCTCTAGCAGGATCTAACAGACACTATTGGTTATTATTCAAAAACCAAAGCAACCCCTTTACCAGTGCACTCCCTTACCCCTGACAGGATCCTGATTTATTCATCCTATGCTAGGCCATATATTTAAGGAAGGGGACCCCCCTCCCTAGCCCCAAAGGGTAAATTTTGATTTTTGATTGGCCTGAGGTAATCATGATGGTCTAATTCCCTTTCTGTGACTGGGTTAGGCAGGGCATGGGACACACTTCTGGCCAATGAAACGTGAGGGAAAATCTGTTGCTGAGGGGTTTCTGGGAAAGGTTTTTCCTGTTCTTAAAAAGAGAATATTAGAGATATGCAAAAAAGAGTAGGTCCTTTTTTGTCTCTGGATGCGATTTTTTTGACTCTGGATGTGTATAAGGAGGTGACTCCTGGAGCTGTGGCAGCCATCTTGTGACCATGAGGGAACAAGCCTGAAGACGCAAGCCAAAACACTGAGGAAGCAGAATGGAAAGATGGAAGTATATGGGCCCTTAATGACATACCAACCCAGTTATACCTGAACCACAGCTATTGCTTTCCATTTCAAATTCACCCAGGCCTGTTCTCAAGGCTCTTTAGGTAAAGTTTCAATAAAAAACACATTCTCCCCGTTTTGTGGTAGGTATAGGAGAGAACAGCAAAGGAAACAACAACAAAAAAACCAAACTGCAACTTACACACCTTTTCCATTCTTTGAAAACCACAGTTCTCCCCTTCCCCACACTCTCAACACTCCCAACACTCAGACATAGAAGTGACGACTTGTCAATGCTTAGGCCCCAAGTAGAACAAAAATACTGCCTATCAAATTAAAAAATGGATAAAAAATGAAAATATGTAAGATGAACTGACTACTTTAAATACCAAGTTTTGAGCTATTTCCCCGGGGAGAATTTGGGATAGATGATAATACTTCTCTAGATAGGACAAGAGATGTTCTGGAGATGTAAAGGCCCCTTAATCCCGGGCCTGGTGACTGTCCACTCCTACCGTAATGCCCCAAAGGGCTAGAGGTCCCTGCCTACCCTCAACCCTGAAGCTGGTGGCTGTGGATTTGAGCTGTACTTACCTAAGATCAAATCCACCAGCTGCTCCTTGGAAAACCTATGGGGCGCTTCTATTCTGTCCTATAGGGTCACTGTGATTTGCAACTGACTTGACGGCAACAGGTTTGGTTTTGGTTTTTTGGTTACCTAAGACGGTACAAGGAAGGGAGGTTACACTGACCACCTTCCTCGGTGGGATCTATGATCTGGGAAACTATTCAGCCTCTGGGAAGAGACTTAGAAATACCTATCACTACGAGTCCTTGTTGGATTGAAAGAATAGAAAATCCTGGTCAGAAGTGTCCTCTCATCTGGAGGGCATTATGCTAAGTGAAATAAGTCAATCACAAAAGGACAAATATTGTATGAGACCACTACTATAAAAACCCATGAAAAGGTTTCCACACAAAAAGAAACAATCTTTGATGGTTACGACGGAGGGGAGGGGTGGGGTTGGAAAAACACTAAATAGACGATAGATGCGTGGTAACTTTGGTGAAGGGTAAGACAGTACACAATATTGGGGAAGCCAGCACAACTTGTACAAGGCAAGGTCATATAAACTCCATAGACACATCCAAACTCCCTGAGCGACTGAATTACTGGGCTGAGGGCTGTGGGGACCATGGTCTCAGGGAACATCTAGCTCAACTGACTTAGTTTATAAAGAAAATGTTCTACATTCTACCTTGGTGAGTAGCATCTGGGGTCTTAAAATCTTGTGAGTGGCCATCTAAGATACTCCACTGGTCTCACCCCTTCAGGAGCAAGGCAGAATGAAGACAGCTAAAGATACAAGGGAAAGATTAGTCCAAAGGACTAATGGACTACAACTACCACGGCCTCCACCAGACTGAGTCCAGTACAACTAGATGGTGCCTGGCTACCACCACCAACTGCTCTGACAGGGATCACAATAGAGGGTCCTGGACAGAGCTGGAGAAAAAAGTAGAACAAAATTCTAACTTACAAAAAAGACTAGACTTACTGGCCTGACAGAGACTGGAGAAACTGGACAGACTGGAGAGCATGGCCCTCAAACACCCTTCTAGCTCAGTAATGAAGTCACTCCTGAGGTTCACCCTTCAGCCAAAGATTAGACAGGCCCATAGAATAAAATGAGACTAAAGGGGCACACCAGCCCAGGGGCAAGGACTAAAAGGCAGGAGGGGATAGGAAAGCTGATAATAGGGAACCCAAGGTCGAGAAGGGAGAGTGTTGACATATCGTGGGGTTGGTAACCAATGTCACAAAACAATATGGTTACTATTTAATGAGAAACTACTTTGTTCTGTAAACCTTCATTTAAAGTACAATTTTTTTTAGAAAAAAGAAGTATCCTCTTGCCAGGTGAGTAGAAAGAACCTTAGTGAGCCCTACACTCCCGCCTGTCTCCTTCATTGAAACATATCGGCAGATGTAATACTTCATGCATAACTTCTCTTTCTATTTTTGAATCTCTTCCTTTATGTCCCTTCCAGTATAAAATAGGATATCCTAATTACAGAAAAATAGACAGGTAGTGAAAAATCACCATAATCCACTACCTAATAAAGCTATTAATATTTTGTTCTATATGTATCAAGTTTTTTTTTGAACTTATTTAAAAAGTTCATATTACTGCACATTATTGCAGAGCCGCGTGTGGTTGGGTGTTTGGTGGTATTGATTTTGTTTTTTTAATATTTTTTCAGTTTTTGGTGAAAGTTGATACAGCAAATTAGGTTCCCATTTAATAATTTCTACACATATTGTTCAGTGACATTGATTACGTTTTCCACATTGCATCAACATTCTCGTTATTTACATTCTGGTTGTTCCAATTCTATTATTCTTGCTTCCCTGCCCCACCTGACCTTCTTATCTTTGCTTTAGGCTAAGTGTTGACCATTTGGTCTCAAATAGATGATTGTTATTGTTGTTGTTTTTAAATATAAAAGGAGAATGGTATTTACAGGTGATACTGTTTATTTTATGAGCCAATCTGTTATTTAGTTGAAAGGTGATCTCCGGGAGTAGTTTCAGTTCAAAGTTTAAAGGGTATTTCAGGGCGACAGTATCAGGGGTTCCCCAGGTCTCTGCTGGTCCAGCAAGTCTGGCCTTTTTTTAAGATTGTGAGTTTTGTTCTACAATTTTATCCCATTCAATCTGGAACCATCTATTGTCAGAATGGTCGGTAGTAGTAGCCAGGCACCATTTAATTCTTCTGATCTCTGGAGAGGTGAGGCTGTGGTTCATGTAGGCAACGGGTCCTGTAGACTAGTTTCTTCTTTAAGTTTTTGGTTTCCTTCTTTCTCTTTTGCTCCAGATGAATAGAGACCAACAGTTGTATTTTAGATGGCCACTCTCAACTTTTAAGACACCAGCCACTACTTACCAAACTAGGATGTAGAACATAAACTTTATAGACTACGTTGTGCCAAGTGACCAAGACGTCCCACAAGACTATGGTCCTAAGCCTGTAAGCTCAGTAAACCTAACCTGCGAGGTGTTTGGTTAAGTCTGGGAGGTATCCATGACTGTGCCCCCTATGTGCTTTATTGAGGTATGAATATATGTGTAGCATTCACAAACATATATACAGATATGTCTACAGATACTGTTGGTTTTTAAGATCTCAAGAATGGTGGAAGTCCTTGAAGCTAGGGAACAAGCAAGTGAACCACCACCCTTCTTATTTTTAAAGGTAGAACTCTGAAAATAATATAAGAACCAATCAACTTATACTACTAGAGAAGATCCTAGAAAAAAATTAGCAGATGATCAACAAACTCCTAAAAGAGTAGAAAAATGCAAGATATTACTGGGTAGCCATGAACTTCGCCTTGTGGTAGGAAATCATGACAAAATGATTCAAGTACAATAGTGGATAATGGCAAGTTCTTCAGATGAGGAAGTGACAGATATAATCTACAGAGTTCAGCTAAGCTTTTTATTGTGTGTCATGTGACAGCCTCTTCTTCAACAAGTTAATATTACCATTAGGAGGGAATGAGAGAGCTTAGAAGGGAGTGGCTCTGTACTCTCTTAGGTCGACATTTTAAGTGTCCCCCTATTGGGGTTTATCCCTGTATTGATTTCAGTGTCTTTTACCAATAACTTGATAAAGTGTTGTTAACAGTGGCTGACAAATGAAAAATAATAATAATAAAAAAAACCAAACCCACTGCCGTCGAGTCAATTCCGACTTATAGCGAACCTATAGGACAAAGTAGGACTGCCCCATAGGGTTTCCAAGGCTGTAAATCTTTACGAAGAGTTGACAGATAATAGGTAGCGATTATCATGAAATGGAGATTTTGCATATTAAAATACCCAGTCTTCTAAATCCAAGAGCTCTTTCCACTGTACTGTGCAGGCATGACTGCCCACCAGAGGCTCTGGGAGGAGCTGAAGTGGGCTGCACAGTGGGTGCACATAAGTACGGGCCCAAACCAGTTGCCACTGAGTCAATTCCGACTCATAGCAAACCTGCAGGACAGAGTAGAACTGCCCATAGGATTTCTGAAGTTGTAAATCTGTATGCAAGCAAACTGCCACATCTTTCTCCCATGGAGTGGCTGGTAGGTTTGAACTGCCAACCTTCTGGTTAGCAACCAAGTGTTTTAACCACTGCACCACTCAGGGCTCCTCAAATACTGGCAGCATATATAAAGGCACTACAAGAGAGGGGTTGTACTAAGCACATTTCCAAACAGCAAGAGTGGAAGATACCTTAAAAGAAAAAAAAAAACCAGTTGCCATAAGTAGATTCCAAGTCATGGCAACCCCATGTGTGCAGAGGAGACTGCTCCATAGGGTTTTCACAGCTGTGAACTTTTGGAAGCAGATCACCAGGCTTTTCTTCAGCAGTACCTCTGGGTGGGTCTGAATTGCCAACTGTTTGGTTAGTGTCCAAGCACTTAACCTTCTGGGCCACCCAGGGACTCCTGAAAAACACTGTAATTGGAAGTAATTCATGGGGGTAAAAGTGGAATAGGAAAAGCAAATACAAGCACACATTACAATTAAATGAGAGGAAGCTTTTTAAATAGCTCGTTACTTGTCTGAAGCATGTTGGGAACAGACAATTCTCTAGGAGAACAATGTACTTATTCTATCTTTCTCTATAATTTCCATTTATTGAGCACTTCCTATGAGCCAGATGCTCTGCTGGCACTTTTCATCATCATGGGGGTGACTCCATCACCAGAGTAAGTACACCCTGGGGTTGGACTCTCCAGTCACTCCCCAGATCATTCCACAATGCACATGGGTTATAGCAGGAGAGAAGAGGCAAGTTCACTTACCTGGCCTGCCAGGTTGAAGTAAGAATGGTTGGTCAGATTGACTGGTGTGGTCTGACTGGCCTGTGCTCTATAGTTGACCACGAGCTCCCCGCCATCCAGCGTGTACGTCACCCAGACCTTCAACTCTCCAGGGTAGCCTTCCTCACCATCTGGACTGACGCGTGAAAACTCGACACCATTTGATAGCACCCGAGGGGTCCAGAGGACCTAGGAAAAAGAGTGTTTTCAAAGTTGTTTAATCACTCCATCTCAAGCTAAATGCCACGTTTTAATATTTAAAGACAACTGATTCTAGAAAGTGAAGTGGTTATATCAATCACTAGGGTTTTTGAATAACACCCTGGATTTTAAACACTCTAAAATATTTTATGCAGAATGGCTTTTGAGAGAGGGAGGAAAAATGTTTTCCTTTTTACCTACCCACACTCCCCATACTTTTTCTCTTTAAATTTATATGGATGTGCGTACAATATTTTTCTCCTCCCCTTCTCTGATTATTTTTCTTTGGTATGTTTTTATCTTGGAGCCCAATTCTGGTAAATGTCATATAGCAATACCTGCTAATAACCTCTCTCCTGGAGGTACTATATGCAAATACTTAAAAAAAAGAAAAAAAAAAAACAGTTTGAGGCTCTCCATCTTCCCCAAGGTGGCACTTGTTCCGTTAGGAGAACCCTAGCCCACAAGCCAGGAGGCTTAATTTAGGAGCCAGGTTTGTCCTTAGCTCAATGTGTGACTTTGGGCATCAATCCATTCCATAAATAAAAGGGTTGAAAAAGTGATCACGAAAGTTTCTACTTGTTTTAGAAAATATGACTCTAATAATAGGAAGAAAAATATGAAGAAACGTTTCCTCAAAAAGGTTTTTGCTTTAAGAAATAGGAATAGTAATCTTGGGTTAATATAGTGGTTCCTCTCAATTTTGTCCTAGAGACTCCAAGGTTATGCTTATGCGGAAGGGAAAACCAACATTTACCAAGTGCCCACGATGAGCCAAGACGCTTTGCTAGAAACTTCACAGACATTATCTCATCTGTCTCATGGCAGTCTCGAAGTATTGTTATCTTCATTATTATCAATTATCTTCAATGATTAATGAGAGAACTGAAGCTCAGGAAGGATAAAGCACTTGCCCCAAGTCACTTAGCTAGTAAAAGACAGCAGATTTGCACAGAATGGGCTGATCCTGAACCTATGGCTGCTCCCTTACTCTACAGATGATGACTTGGCCAGAGATTTCCACTCTCTGAAGGGCAATCTTGCTTCTCAGCCCTGTGGGGGCTTTCTCACTGGTCTCATTTCAGGGCGTCAGGGAGATCATTTTGGTAGTTAACTTTCCTTTAAATTATACCACCCAGATTATATCCTACAGAAGAGCCAGAGAAGACAGAAGCAAGTATGGCAGCTGGATGAGACCTCCAATTTTTCAGTTCTCACCAGGCACTAACTAGTGCTTTACATAAATCAACTTGCAAGGTAAGGACTTGGTTGAACCAAATGAACTTTCCATTTTCTGTAGGTCAGAACAATCAAACACTGGTAATTTTATACAGCCTCAACTAATATTCTTACCCTCATTTTATAGACGAGCAAGTTGAGTTCTGTGAGATTAACTAGCCCACTTCCATCTCCCACATCCCAGGGAGAAGGGTAGAGTCCTTTCACACTACATGCCCATTGTTTAAAAGGAAAAAAAAATTTTTTTTGTTTACAGTCATACATGTAATTAGTGACAGAGCTAGGATTCAAATTTAAGACTGGTTGTTTACACTAACGGTTTGCTGTCTACACTACCCTACACCTTTGTTTTCAGTGACTGCTTCAGAAGAGTCTCCATTTTCAACAGATGAGTTGAGCTCGAACTTAGTCATCCCAAACAGACTTGAAAAGTAATAACCTCCACAGGCCAGTGGAACGGCCTGTAGGCCCAGGCTCTGCGCACCTACTGCAGGCGGGGCTTGGCTCTCTCACTGACGTTGAACTTGCCAGGAGGGGAGCCCAGCGGGAACAGAGGCCTCTGCCGTCACCTATGGTGAAAGCAGCTGGTATTTGTAACAAAGTCACTGACCTTATGAAAATTAATTTTACACCCTAATTATCCCCCTGAAATGGTACACTTTTCAGACACTTAAAATATGAAGCCTGTTACATGTGCAATTAAAAAGAGAAAAACATAATCTCCCAAAGGGAACATTATAGGAATTAGGAATTTTAGAAATATTTGAAATAAAATGTTCATAACTTGCTACCTAGTTTTTCTCCTTTAGCAAAAGGACACAATGGAAAGATTTTTGTGTAAATCAATATCATCAGATAAGTATAATTCCTATTCACAGAAGGATTTTCCTGTACCTGAAGTTTCCAAATTTCTAGAAATTTTACATCTCCAGGTCTACTTATTCCATTTCTAATCCTGTCAGGTTATTCAAATTTCATCTTTTAAAAAAAAGTGTTGATATAAATATAAAAACACATACCTCCAAACCAATAATTACTCAGTAAGTAAAATATTGGTATTCCTTCTAGCATTTTAAAATCGATCAATAACCCTCTACAAGCAAACTCAGTAAGACTGAAGATGTTAAATGGTTCTGTGTTGAAAGCAAACACAACTTAACACAAAGTTTATCTGATACTGCTCATGTTACGGTGCTCAGAAACCTTCAGTGACTCCACAATAGCCTTCAGTCTTGCCCCACCTCTGCCTGGGTCATTGCACAACCATTCTCTCTAATATCCACATATTAAATGAAATGCTATCTTTTCTTCAAGGGCAGTTCAAATCTCATCTTCCCAGTTGCGATTAATCCATCCATACCCAGTTCCTACAGCACACCGTTGGTATCGATATTACAGGCCTTGTTGCAGACTGCCTATGACAGTCACCATATTTTTATGCAAATAACGCAGGCATTATATGTTTTGTGACCGACTGTGCAACCCCCCCACCCACTATTTTCATAAGTGAGCTATGCCATGCGTTACATGTGTGGGTGCATTATTTACATGGGTGTGTTATTTGAGGAAAAAAATATGGTATTATGTAAGGGACTGCCTCCCTTACTACACTGTGAGTCTCAGGAGGACAGGGACCATTCCGTGCCTCGTTCAGTTTGGTATCCCAAGTCCTATTTTGCTCCCTGGTTCACAGAGGGGCTCAGGAAGTATACTGAATTGAAGAACACACATATTCACTATTTTGCTGTTTATATGGGGCATATGTAGTAAGAAACACCGTAGAAAATACCACAGTGGGGTAGAGGGATCAGGAACATGCTAGAACAAAGTGCTGTCCTGAGGATCCTCTGAAAACCCCTGACCAAAACAGAGCTGGGTCTTACTTCCTTTGTCTGGGGTTTGTCAATGGACCTGGCACATTCTAGAGACCCTGGCAAAGCAGGTCTTACTCTCTGCTTTATGCTTTCTGTGGCATGACAAGTCCCATCACTGAGAAAAGGAAAACTGATGGGACAGTCTGGTTCTAGGCCACAGACAAGAAGCTGGTGGAACAGGGGAAACAGAGTGACCAACTTCCTTCAACAGGGCAAGTGCAGTCAGAGGCAGAAACGAAGAAACTGTCGTGCCCAGCTGCCATTCATGTTCGTGCCTTCTCTGCCTTTTTTCTGGGATATAACCTGGTGGTTAATTTAAAGGAAAGTTAACTACCAAAACGATCTCCCTCACAGCCTGAAATGAGACCAGTGAGAGCATCACAGGGATTAACCTGCAGACTCCCACAGGGCTAAGAAACAGAATGGCAGGCATTCCTATCTCAGAGAGAAGCTGTTTAATCAGCTTGCTTTCCTAACCTTGTTTTTCAGGAATTCACTTGGGGAATGGGAGCGTTAATATGAAAAGGTGGAACTGGGGAGAACCTGAGGCATGGAGGAACCCTGGTGGCATAGTGGTTAAGAGCTCAGCTGCTAACCCGAAGGTCGGCAGTTCGAATCCACCAGCTGCTCCCTGGAAACCCTAAGGGGCAGTTCTACTGTGTCCTATAGGGTTACTGTGAGTCAGAATTGACTCCATGGCAATGGGTTTTGAGGCATGGAAGGGAAGGGCAGGCCTGGATGCAGTGATACAGTCCATGAGAAGGGGCTTTATGGCAGATAAAGGGAGGCGTGTCGCACTGGGGACACCCACAGCACCTTCAGCCCTGGCAGACCTGCTCTCCCACTTAGGAGCTGTATGGCCTTTCGGTGTCTCAGATTTCTCATTTGGTGACAACCCAGGGTTCTAGGGATACAGGGGTAGAGTTACTGGATGTGAATGCCTTGTAAAGTAAGCAGTGGGTATTATTATTAATCCACTTTTCTGTTGTGCCTCAGGTCAATCTGACCCCAAATCCCATTTAATTCATTTCATCTTTGGGACACTTCTACGGGATGTTGTTGTTGTTAGGTGCTGTCGAGTCAGTTCCGACTCATAGCGACCCTAAGTACAATGGAATGAAACACTGCCTGGTCCTGTGCCATCCTCACAATTGTTGCTTCTATGGGATAGATGCTATTATTAGCACCATTTTAGAGACGAGGAAATTGAGGACAGGAACGTTAGGTAACCCGCCCCAAACACTGAAAGTAGTTCCCTGCCCTGCCTGTTATTGTCAGAGGAGCTGGAGAAAGATGGGCCCTGGAACGTGGCCATCACATTGCTCCCCAAACCAGGGGTATTCCTTCCTACGGTGCATTTGCTCTAGGGCCTGGGATTGTGCCTGGCAAACAGAAAGTATGCTTGAGGGTATTTTGTGAAGTGTGTCAGGTGGGAACTCTGTCAAATGCCCTGACTTACCTTATCAAATCCTCTGATTCCACCATGCAGACTGTTGGGCTCTTTGTTGATGGCCAGCTTGTACTCCTTCCCATCCAACGTGAATGTTCCTGTGGCAATTCGGTTGGCCACCCTCCCAATCACTGCTCCAAAGTAGGGCTGCTTTTGGAGGTACCCTGCAAGGACATGGGATGACAACATTTTTGAAGACTTCAGACCACTTGTGAGGCTCAGACTGCTGCCCACCACTTCCTCTGAGGGATGCTGCAAGCAGGAACAACTAAGGCAAATTAAAGGCCTTGTGGAAGCACAGAAAAATGGTGTTCTTTACACGACCCTTCTCCCTTCCCCAAACTAGTTTATGTTCATCGTAAACAAATTAAGAACTTTGTAAAGCACAAAGAAGAAATTTAAATCATCCTTAATCTCATCACTGGAGAGAACCACTGTTAATATTCTTTTTAAAAAAATTTTTTTTTATTGTACTCTAGATGAAGGTTTACAGAACAAATAGTTTCTCATTAAAAAGTCAGTACACATATTGTTTTATGACATTGGTTAACAACCCCACAACATGTCAACACTCTCGTTTCTCAACCTTGGAGGGCCTTTATTGCGTGAAAATATACATAGCCAAAGTTACACCATTCCAAAAGTTTCTACATGTACAATTCAGTGACATCAATTACATTCTTCCAGTTGTGCTGCTATTCTCACTATCCTTTTCCAAATTATTCCATCACCATTATCTTCAACTCACTGCCCCCTAGGCTCCCGTGAAACC